TCATTAATTAGAACTTGTGGAAATAATAAATTCTATTTTTACTCTTTTAGTAAGCTTTCAATAGTCACGAAATGGAAGGTAATATTCAATTTTGGATAATTAATGGTGTAACTATTGCTCTTCTTGTTAGTTCATTATTTCTTATTTTTTCATATGTCATTGTCATTTTTTTAATATTTATTCTTCCTTTAACAATCTATTTTCTCTTCAATTATTTTTCTGTACCACAATGTCGAAGATCTGTTAATCAATTTAAAAATATAACAATTGCACATCGTGGTGGTCAACCATTAATACCATCGGATGATAATGATTTTCCTGAAAATACAATGGCTGCTTATCGATGGGCATCAAATATAAATGGTATTGATTGTATTGAATTAGATGTATGGTTAAGTCGAGATCATATTCCAATGGTTAATCATGATGCTTATTTAGAACATACATTTGCTAATTGTCAACAATTTATATCATCATTAACATGTGCTGAATTAAAACAATTAAAATATTTAAAAAAAAATAAATCTGATATATATAATCAAATAGGTTGTGAAATAATATCAACTTTAGAAGAAGTTATTATTTTTTTAGAACCAACAAAACTTAAATTAAGTAAGCATGGATAAAATACTTGAAAGAAAAAAAAAATTAACTCAATGTTTTTTTTTTTGTTTTTGTTAAGTTATTGAAATTAAAGAATTAAATAAAAAAGATGAGATGGCAAAGATTATTAATAATCTATTTGAACGATATCCATTTTTATATGATCGTGCTTTTTGTGCTGCTTTTCATCCATATAATATATATGCAATTCGTCGTTTAAATCCATCTATAGCAACAGGATTTATATCTGTACCAGATATAACAACACTTATTATTCTTAATGCTCATCATACTCCACGACCTTTGCCAATTTTTTTGATTCACAATGTTATACTTCGATGGATAATTGATTCATTTTTTATGTTGTTGGCTACACCAACTGGTTTGAAATTTTTAGGAGCTGATATAATTTGTATTGAACATCGACAAGTTTCACAAAATTTATTAGATAAATACGGAAAAGCACAAATTGTTGTATGTGCATGGTGTGTTAATCAACCAGAACAACGACAATGGTTAGCAGCTAATGGAGTTTCAGTTATTACGGATACACTTTTTGATATTATTGATAAATCATATATGATTCAAAATGAATCATAGATTTTTATACAATTACTGTAGAATTATTAGTTTTGTTTGTCTTTGAATAATCTTACACTATCAGTTTCAGTTATTTTATTATTTTAGTTTATGGATATTATTGAATGAATCTCTAACCTAGAAATAAACATTACATTATCAATCCAATGACAAGTATTTAAGTTTTAACGTATTTTAACTTTTCTTCATATATTTTTCAGCTTTTTTTTTTATTTTAAAATATTTAATAAATATTATCACAAAGAACAGAATAATGTTGAGAAATTAGAGATATGTTTGAATTTCGTGAACTCTGAATTCAGGCACCATACAGAACTTGCGGAACTGAATCAATCTTAAGAACTCAAGAATTTGTTGAAATTTAGGTAACAGATCAACCCTAGAGTGTTCAAGCGACATCGATATCATCACACTTTGCTTAGCCACAAATTTTAAAAAACTGTAGTACTATCTTACATTCAGAAATACCATAAGAGATAATAAATATATGTTACAATCTATTCTATGGATATTCAACTATGGGTGTGGCTGTAGATTTAGGGAGAACCGAGATCGAAACCAAGATTTACAACCTCATAACTACTCCATGCTCACACCCTTCCATGAGTTCTGTCAATTAACTTTCACTTTTGAGAGTTTCAAAAGTTAAGAACCCGAAGAATTCGGCCACTTCTGATCTTGAAATAAATGATAAGTATATCGTTATTTATTCAAGAATGCGTTTATTATCTGATGAAGCATGAATTTATATTTTCACTAATTATTATAATTTACTTTTTACTTTTAATTATTTGTTTATATTTAATATTCTATTCTCCATATCGTATACGTAATTGATATAGTTTTATAATATTATTTCTTACATTTACAATACGTTTAATATTTATGTATTCTATCATTTTGTCAAATATATCTTTTATATTTTCTTCTATTTATTGATATAAATTCTTTCAATTGTTTATATTATTCAATAATTATTTTTTATTGTATATACTTAAATCATTTTTCTTTTTGTTTACTATCGATGAAGCAAGATTATTAAACACTTGTCTTTTGCTTCAACGTCCTCTTTTACCAAATGATGATGATGAACAATTTATTGATAGAATTTTAAACGTTTATGTAAAATCTCAAGATAACTTTCGAACTTGTTTAGATGAATGGTTTAATGGTATTGAAAATTCATCTTATGATTTAATTTATGAAGAAAATATTTTAGAATATATAGCTATGGCAATATATAGTGTTAAATATTGAAATGAAATGACAGATGAACAATAACAACATGTGAGACGATTATTATATGAAGGATTTTAAAAAAAATATTCTGAACAACGTTCAAAAATAAAACCTGATTATTATAATGAAACACAATTGAGAATGTAGATGTGAATGTGAGTCTCAGTCTTCAGTTCATCAACACCTACAGCCACACACATACTTTGGTCGTCTCTGAAAGCTTTCAATATTATCTACTGTTTCGAAGAATGTATGAAAAAAAACATACTTTTTCGAGCAATCACTTCAGAAACCAGTTTTTCCCTTTGTTTACTCGGATAGATCGAAATCAATTGAAAATTATTATTTTTCTTTCAGTAAACGTGCTGCACGTACACCAATGGCACCTTTCACTTGCTGTTTATTTGCATTTTCATGCTGTTGTTTCAACCATGAAGGTGTGAGTCTAAGTGAGTATTTCTTCAACTTAGCTTAACGAATACAAAATGCCTGAGAACTATCGTCTCCCACACCCAAATTTTTTGTTATTCATCTTTCCAATAATAATTATAACAAAATTACGAACGAGTTTTTCCAATTAGTTTATATTAGCGCCATTAATAGTCAAAATGAAATTATCACAGAATTTAAAAAGAAGATTTTCGTTTATCATAATTGTACGGTCAAATTTACTAAACAAGTTATAATTTATGAAACAATGATATGCTTATCTGTACATGATTAAGTCAAATTCAATTAGACTTAATAATTTATTAAGAATGCTCGTTAACTTACCTTTTATATAGCTCATATTAGTCTGTTGATTTCAACAGCAATGGCTAGATGTGTGATGTTTTTATAATATTTTCTGACGTTTGATTTATAATTACCAGGTGCTCAGTTGATCATAATTACTAAATCGCCCTTTTTGACTATCGTTACCAGGTAATTACTTGGACCACAGTTAATCAATAGTCATTTTGATCATAACTCAATGATCATTTGCGCCATAGTTACCATATGGTAACTGTGTTACAGAGAGACAGACACATGTGAATTTCCGTTTCTAGACCTTATTCTTCCAGCCTAGGGAACAAATAATTACGATTCAATATCCTGCGTCATCTTATTTTTTGTTGTAAATCACCATTTTAAAGATGCAAATACCGTTTTATAGATGCATTACCACAGCAACGAATTCGATGATGGCACTGCTCCATGTGCGTAAGCAAATAAAAGAAAACTAAATATTTTTAATATTTTAAATGTTTGAATCAAATTCTATTATATCTCAAAATGAGTAAAGGATACATGATAGAAAAAAACGGATTTACTGGTTGATTTTTGCCATTGAACAAATAAATTGATCCGTTTTAGAGATCTTAAAATTCAAGTTTGATTTCCGTATAGGAGATTAAATATGTTCTACATTCTACAAGAGTTTTTTTAAATACATATTATATAAATGGAACATGAAAATAATATATTATTGTGAATCATATAAATTTCTAAAATCGTATAATGATTGGATCGTATATTGAAATTCGTGGTGTAATAATCACAACTGCGATGTCAAAGAGTCTTGTTCTGTTTCGTACTTTTTCATCTCTCGATGTCACGTTTTTCCCAAGCATGTGAACAAGATATAAAATAACGTGGGTAACCTTAGTTTTTTTTATTATAAAAACAAATATTCACAAAATGTAAGTCACTCTTAACTACATATTAAAATAAAATATGTTGCAGTTTAATGTGTCTTATTAAATATGCATATATTTCTAGGAAAAACGAACATTATAATCTTACGATCAATTTTGATAGTGAGTAAATAATTATTTAATCAATTAGAAATCTATAATATTTAATTTAGATAATACAGAACCATTGAAGACACCACCATTACCAGATCTATATAATACCACAAATAATAATAATAATAATAATAATTTGATTTTTGATTTTGAGGTTGAGTTAGGTTTGTCAAGTGTTCCTACAAACACATTTACCGGTAAATATGCATTTATTTTAATATATTAATATAGTAGATTTATTTTATTTTTGTAGAGACACAACCAATAATAACACCTTTAGAAAATCAGATACTATCAGTCACAACGATAAATAGTAAAATTTATTGATAGTTATAAAAGTTTCTTAAAAATTCTTTTTTTTTAAATTAGATTTCTCTTCTCAACCATCGTCAAGTCTTGAAGATGTATGGATAGGGTATTCCGAACAAGAAACTTTCCAAGATGATCAGCACCTGTCCATAACAGAAATTATACATAGTGAGTATTATTTTATATAAAAAAAAAGAAAAATGTTTACTACGCATATTTGTTTTCTAAATATAGATGAGACTAATGAATCGACACCAGATCTTGAGGAATTCTGGAGACGTGGTGTGGAACATGGCAATAACACAGATTCTATTGCTGAAGAATCTACTGATGAACAAACATCTTTCATCACTGGTGAAAACAAGAAAATTAAATAATTTTTCTTCAATAATTTTTCTTCTTATTTTTTAGATTTATCTACAGTGGCAAATGATCATTCTGTAGAATCTGGTATAAATATTTCGATTTAAAGAAAAATAAAAATTCAATTCTTATAACTATATTTTATTATAGAGAATCAACAAGAACATAATACATCATTAATTAATAATTTATTTTTACCAGTACAATCATCATCTAATGAAATATCACAAAATACTTTGACAAATACAGAAACACATCCATCAAGTGGTAAGTATATAATTAAACAGCATCTATTTATTCTACATTCTAACCTAGATGTAACTCCTTATGGGTATTTACTTCATCCTATTGCGTCAAAAACTCGTGTACGATATGAACGTGAATTGATTAATAATAAAATGTCAGGTAACATGGCTTATATAAAAGATTATTTTGGAGAATGTTCAATATCCATTGGAGTAAGTACATATAGAAATAATCATGAAATTTTAACTGTTTAATTTAGCCTGATAGTTTATTCACTGATCGACATATTGAAATTAGTTTACTTTC